TGTCAGCATAAATTTCCCGAGGTAATTTTCAATATATATCCGTTATTATTATAGAATATTTTTAGTCACTTTTAACGGTTATTATTGGTTTAGGGCATTTCATCCTGCCAGTTATACCTATCATCGTCGGCTTATCGACTAGTTGGAAAGGGAAAAATCCATAACACTTTGGGAGATTTACTTCACCATAGACCGCTTCCGGATGGACACATGAAAGTATCAGTTGATATTGCTTTAGATATGGATGCGTTGCTGCCGGTACCTGACATTGTTGCTGAGACCATATTGCTGCGAGATGCAATAGGATCTTTTGTTGCATGGCCATCGGACCTCATTTTCATCGATGATCAGGTATGTTGAAAACTATTATGAATCTTTAAGTCTTCAACTGTCAGTTCTGACCTCAGTTATTTCCACGGTAATTATAGACTCCTACAAAACCCGCATCTAAGGGTAAAGGGATTTTGCGGCACAACGAGTCTGATGTATCATAAAAAGAGGTACGTTTAAAGTGTTAATTATATGATCCGAATAAAAAATTGCATAATTTTATAATTTAACTGAGTCTATATGATTTTTAGGTACCTTTTCAAGGGTCACAACAAGTGAGCCGGAAAATCATTGGCGTACCACCCAAGAAAAGGGTTCCTACTAGATTTTTCCCTCGATACCAGCAGTGTCTTGAAACAATAGTGGGAACAGATTTGATGGATGGTGGTATTCGTCAAATGGATATAGATCAAGGTATCTTTGGTTTTCCTTGCACCGAAATAATTGGACATGAGGACGTGGAAGAGATTTTCCGTTATAAAGAATTAGGCGTCAGTATTATGCACGCATACATCCGGTAACCCCATCTTTATATTATGTAATTAGCTGATTTTTTTTAAAACATTTCAATGAATATAGTCTAATATTAATTATGTTTTTATTTAAGGTTGTTATATGACAAATTGATGCGCGGGAATCAATTGTCAAACATACTCTATTTCGTGTCTTCCTCCCGTGTCAGCGGAGCGACAATTGGTAGGGAACCGAATTCAGTAAGAGAGCACTTAGTCAAAAGATTTATGGCAACTGGCAGTACAGAAAGCTTATATCTTTGAGCGTATAATACTATTCCTACAGGGTTAGATTTTCATTCTAAATTCATTTTAATATTTGTAATTTTTGCGTAGAAAATTTTCTTCTAAACTGTTGTTTTAATTTATAGATGTCACTGGTTGTTGGTTGCTATCGATCCTATAAAAGAAGTGGTCTATTATCTGAATTCAGTTGACGGTGATTGGACAAATTATCCAGATATGAAGTTAATGATTGCTACGTAAGTGAGATTATTCTAAATATTTGTGTGTATTTATATATTTAATTATTTCTGTGACATTATTCTAAATATATATTTTTATTTTGTTAGAGCGATACAAATATTCTTGTGTCAAAGAGAAACTCGGGTACGACGGTCTAAATCAAACAACATTAATTGGATCAAAGTGCAGGTATATTAATTTCCACTATTTTGCTTATAATATTTATGCTATTTGATAAAACAATACAACTATATATTCTTATTTGTTTTTCTATGTAGTGTCCTCAACAGCAAAACGGTATAGATTGCGGATACTTCGTTATGCGGTTTATCAAAGAAATCCTTCAACTGAATCAAATAGAGATTCCAGTCACGGTATGGATTTATAACTTAGGATTTGTTTTATTATTTCTCGGATATTTCATATAATTTTTTACTTTTAACTAAACCATGCATATTATGTTTTGTTATGTAGTACTTCGATGAATACAAATGTGCATATTACACGAAACTTCAGTTGAAAGAAATCAAAGAGGAATTGTGTCAATATTTTATTGAGCAGAGAATCATATAAGGTATGAATACATTATTATGTTCAAACCTCGCAGGACCAGGACCTTAATACATAATTGACCGTGTTTCTTTCATACATTAGGACTGGTTTAGTTGCTGTTAGGGTTGATTTTGTAAGACTGATTTTGAGTTACAATGCTGATAACAATGGTTTTTATATATTTTGAGGTACAAAAATGATGTATATATATTTTGGATTACAATGGTATACAATGCATTATCGCGGTTTATGAATTACAGGTTATGGCAACTGGTTTATATAAATAATATGCTGCAAATAATGCAAGTATATAAATTATATAAATTATACCTCTAAAAAAACACCCTATGAAAGCGCTTTTTCAAGAAAAACGCTGCCTTAGGTAACCTATGAAAGCATTTTTTCACAAAAAGCGCTGTCTAAGGTAAACATATGACAGCGTTTTTCCAGGAAAAAGCGCTGTTAAAAGACCACCTATGAAAGCGCTTTTCCAGAAAAAAAGCGTTGCTAAAAGCCTACCTAAGACAGCGCTTTTCCAGAAAAAAGCGCTGCTAAAAGAAAACTTATGAGAGCGCTTTTTCAGAAAAAAAATACTGTCTTAGGTAGACCTATGAAAACGCTTCTTCATAAAAAAGCGCTGTCAAAGAATACATATGGCAGCGCTTTTTCGTAAAAAAAAAAGCTTTGTCTAGACCTACGACAGTACCACCATAGGCAGCGCTTTTAAGCACTGGTAAAGGACAAAAAAAAGCACTTTCATAAATCTTTTTTGACGTAGTGGAGGACGATAAATTGGCAACCACCTCATAGTGGCTAGGTGAAGTTAAATATAAATGGAGTTTGCAAAAGTGGAAATGTGGCTGAATGCGGAGGAATTATCGGAGATGAACACGACGGCTGCAAGGGTGATTTTTCAAATTTTTTTGGGAGTTGTAGCATTATTAAAGCTGAGTTATGGGGCATTTTTGCAGGACTTTTTCTCGCGAAGGATTTGGGATGTGTAAAAGTAGAGGTGAATGTGGACTCCACCAAAGTCATTGACATGATAAATTCATATGGATATGGACAGTTACTCATTGGTAAAGCAAAATTTGGATTTGATGAAGTTGTTTGAAGATATTAAGCTGGAACCCGAACTAAATTTGAAGCTACTAGTGGAAACATTTTTATTTTTGAAGACGATATCCCGATATTTATTAAACATTTTGTGGTGTTTGATGCTTTAGAAAACTCCATCATTAGAAGAACCTTATTGTAGTTTTTCTTTAGACGTATTGCTTCCAATTTTACCAAAATAAAAACACAAATATAAAAAAGGCATGAGAATCAAAATAAAAAATAAACCAATAGTGAAATAACTAAAATTTGCAAAATAAAATCTTGTATGTAACTCTCAACTTACAAGTCTACATTTTACTTTCAACTAAAACATTTCTTTTACTTGTGATATATTATTATTTCAATATACTTTTTTTGTTTTTTATTATAAGTCGTTTTGTAAAAAAAAAATTCTACCACAATAAATATATAAGTCGTTTTATAATTTTAATGAACAATTAATGATATTTTTTATATTATATCTTTAAATATTTATTATTCTCACTCTTTTCAATTACATAAATTTATCTTTCACATATTATTAATGAATAAACTTTTTGTAAAACCTTCATAATTTCTCATTTTTAACCATAATTATTATTTTTCTTAATATGTGTGAAAAGTAAAAAATAACTTATAATAAAAAACGGAGATAGTAATTCATAATAAATTATTATAATATAAATTTATCGGCCATATCAATTTAATAAAAGTTTTTAACATAATTAAAAATCAATATAAAACAAATAAAAATTAATTAACAACCGCGTATTGCACGAGTATAAATCTAGTTTTTAATAAAATAGTACAATAGCTTTCCTCTCACATTTGTTCATCTATTACATTATGTGAGTTTGAGTAACTTATCTGCCTCGGTTAGGGGTGTGTAAAAAAACTGGTTACTGATAACCAAATTCATATTCAAATTGTTCTATTTATTAAAATCCAATCCAAATATTAAATATTGAATTTGGTGGTCCATCTATGGTCAAAGTGGTAAATATGTACCCATAAAATGGTTATTGAGTATCCAAATTTCTTTCTCATCAAATTTTTCTGCTTTCCAATTTTCACACTTTCTCAAGAAAATATGCTCTACACGTTTTCATAAAAATTGAATGATGTTTAACACTTTATTTCAAATGACTAATTATTAAATAAATATAAAAATGTTTAATTATAGTTAAAAAATATGCAAACACTCTCAAATAAATTGAAAGATATAGTATACTAAACATTTAAAGAGCAAAATATATTATTATCACTGTAGAAGGCAAATTTAAATTTGAAAGAAATTTGTTTGAATTTGATCTTTTTTCATTCAATATACATATACTTTATATAAGAAAACGAATGTTCACAGTGAATTAATAAATACTATCTCAGTATTAATTGATTTTTCTTTTAGGATTGATAAAACAAAAAGGATCATTTAAACATAAAAAGGTTTTAAAAAATGTTTTGTGACCGTGAGAACGACTGCGACAAAATGTTTTGGACATATGTCGATATCGATACTGTTATATCCGTTTTATATTAAAAAACAAATTATAATTAATAATTTACATTGCGACGAACACAATCAATATCGTAACACCTCTATTGATCGAAATTGCAAAAATTGTAATACGGCCGCGACAATTTTTTAAAATCTGCTTAAAATTAAATTAAGAATGTGCTTTATTAATGTTTAAAAAAATTAGTACTGAATTAATTTTAAAATTTTATTAATTAAAATAAATTAAATATAGATTAAATTATATTTAGATAATTTCGATTAAAATTAAAACTGGTTTTAAACCGGTTTTAATCCGGTTTGAAACCAATTATGTTTTTTAAATCAATTTTTATGATTAATGGTTTGGTTTGTAAACCATAACCATAAAAGTGGATTGGATCACAATATATGGTAATCATGCACACCCCTAGCCTCGGTCATTTTCTGTTGTATACATGTTTTCAATACATCAATTATTGAGTAAATCATGCAAGTCCCATTTAATAGCATATGCACACTTTAAATTATTGTGTGATTGATGTCTTTTACTTGCTGTGCATTTTCCATTTCAAGTACCTTTCTACAATGTCTAGTCCACTGACTTCCTTTACAACAGGCATGGTTGCAGGGACCCCCAACTGAAATGTTGAATCTGATCCATCTAAGTTGCTCCATGATAGAAGTTGTTTCCTTGCTTCATTGACAGCTGATCTTGTGGCACAGTGAACAGAAGCTGCTAGAAGCAAGGGTGGCTCACCAGATGCTGCACCAACAAATATCAATTATTATTTACTATTTATTCGAGATTTGAACAAAATCTCTATTGCTCTGCAATACGCATTTTAGTACAAAATATTGCATAGAAGAATTTGAACAAACCGTTGTTTCCCACTATATGCAATTGTCAACTCTATTCTCAAATATGCATTCAAATTAGTTGAAATAATTTTTACTTGTTTCAAACAGTTATAGTTTAATACTTAAATATTGGAAAAGTCCTAAGTCATACCCTTGGAAGAGAGAACTCTATGTTTGTGATGCCCACTGTTGAGGATTTCAACATTAAACTGTTGAGGAATAGTGTCTATTGTGGGGATTTTGTAATTCCATGTGCCATCTGCCAACACCAAACCATCAAGGTTTGTTTCATATTCTTCAAGCATGAAAAATCCTAACCCCTGTATGAAAGACCCTTCAATCTGCAAAATGCATTTATATGATTATCAAAAGAATTTGCCAACTCTGCATAAAAGGCCTTACAATATGTATGTGTGTGTATTACCTGTCCTAAATCCACAGCAGGGTTTAGACTTTGTCCGCAATCATAGATAATATCAGTTTGTAGAAATCTTGTTTCACCTGTCAGAAGATCTATTTCCACCTGAGAAACAATTTTCATTTACTTCAGTAATATGGCTTCAGTGACAATATCACATAAGTACTTTAACAATAAAAATTGAAGAGAAGTTAAAATGAATTTAAGAAAGTTCCATTTGATTTGACATATACAAAAGAAACAAACTCACCTCACTAATTGCAGCACCATAATTGAGGTAACTAATGGAACTATTACTAGGTACATAATATGAAGATGCTGATAAATTAACAGCTTGATTGTATGCCTGTAAATTAATGAAATGTCAGAAACACGGTAATTAAATATTGAAATATAAGCTCTTTTATTTTTACACTAGTAGTACCTGAAGAATAAGATCCTCCCACTTGATAGAAGAACTCGTTTCCTCTTGGAGCTTATTCTTGATAGGTTTTAGTCTTTCAACTAAGATATTGCAGCTAAGCCTAACAGCTTCACTGCTTGCCTCTGATGTTGTGCTACCAACAGTCTTTCCCCCTTGAATCATGCCCAACGTATCAGCTTGTATAACCCGTACTTTATCCAAGAGACTTCCACTTTCATCGCATTGAATTGTGCCGAGCACAAACGCAGCCATTTGTTTCACCTTTGTCCATAAACCCTGACCCATTTCAATTCCTCCAACTTCAACAACAACAGAACCGTCCGATAAAATACTAACTTTTGCCGGAGTTGGTCTTAGATTCATCTCTTGCAAAACCGGTATTCGAGATATTCCCCTTTTCTTCCAAGTGTTAATACTGTTAAACTCTTCTACTTTGATAACTCTAAGTTCATAGTTTGCAGAAACAGCTAACTTGTTCCAAATTAAAGGCATGGTATATTCAAGAAGTTCACCAGAAGAGTCCTCATAGAATTCCTTAAGACTTGTGTAAGTGTGAAGATTAATGCTTCTGACTGAATCTACTTCCATTGAAAGTGTAGCTGCAACTTTTTCTATTATACCTTCTGCGATGAATGATCCCTGCAATTCCCCCGGGGCCCTCATTGCAGATCTACTAGGATGATTTGTTTTGCATAACTTAATATCAAAAGAGAGAGCACCCCAGTCATATTTTTTAAGCGCGCCTGCTAGGTTGCCCGGTATTATAGGACTAACATCTGCATAAATTCCGGCGTTGACCAATATCTCAAGGTGTAATGCAGTAATCTTCCCATTATTCTTAAACCCTACACTGTATGTTATCTTCATTGGGTGCCTTCCTCCGACCATTATCATATCGGTTTTACGATTTAGATACATCCTGACAGGTCGCTGTAATTTGTGCGCTGCGAGTGCACAAGATACAGCACCCTGCAAATGACAAGGGAGAGGTTAAAGCATATTATATAGTTGAATAGTTTAGAATGATCAACTTGCATAATCTAAGGAAAATGTATCAATGATATTAAATAGAGAATAATTCTAAATGCAACTAAAAACTTACAGCTGTAGATTTCATGGCCTTTCCTCCAAAACCTCCTCCAACTCTTCTTGTAATTACTCTAACATTGTTTTCAGGAATACCAAGGCATCTTGCTATAGTAGTATGTACATACTCGGGGCTTTGACTTGACAAGTATACAGTTATGCAATTGTCTTCGTCTGGTACAGCGAGTGCGGTTTGCGTCTCCATATAGAAATAGTATTGAGATCCAAGTTTCATCTGTGTTTTGTTGATAGATGATGATTAAATATGTTTGATCAACAAACAACAACATTCATTATTCAGAAGGAAATTTAAACATTATATCAAGAACCACAAACAATTTAATTTTTTCACGTGTACCTCAGAAGAAACAATCTTGTGATCTGCTTCAGCCATTCCTTTTGATATATCACCAATTTGATTTTTTGGAAGTAAAAATGGAGGAACTTCAAAAAAGCTAGATCTTTCAACAGCATCTTCAACACATAGGATAGGTGGTTCAAGATTTTCAATACTGTAATCAACCAAAGCTGAATTTGCAGCCAAATCTGCAAGTTTTTGAGTATCTGCAACCTAAAGAAGCCATTTGGAGACTAAATATAAGTGCTACATGTATCAACAAATAAGATCATGCATTTTGGATCAAAATAAAGGATTTAAGAACTCACTACAAAGGCAAGACGGTCACCGACACATCTAGCAATATCTTCGGCAAATAAAGGTTCCCTACCAAATACAGGCTTTACTCCAAGGTTCTCCCCACCATTGGGAATGTCTTTACTTGAAAGGATGTCTCTCACTCCATCATGTTCCAATTCTTGCCTGAGTTTTATACTTGTTATCCTGGCTAGTGGTTTTTCACTATAAATATACGCTCCATGCAGACAATTCGTTGGTGATGGAATGTCATCCACAAACACAGCCTCACCTATGTAAGATCAATTAATTATGAAAAGTAGCTATTGATATGCATCAAAACAAGATAGAATAACATTCTTCTTATCTTTGTTGTCTGCAAAACATAATTCTAAACAAACCTGAAGCTTGTAGCGCAGCGCCAGATTTCATGACTGGCTCGCCAATTGGACTATACTCGCTGCCTGCTACAATTACTTGCTTCCCGGACGACAATAAAGTAGCCTGATTATGATTCTCTTTTATATCAGAAGCCTTGACTGAAGGCAAATGAGTATAACCATTTAAATAACCATTGGTTATTCTTGCAGAACTGCAACTGAGTGAGTTAAAGAACTGAAAAAGAAAACCAACTGCTAAACTTGAAACGTAAGCATTTTCCGAGGTTTCATCTTGAGGTGTAATAGTGGCAGAATCCTTAAGCAAATTAATAGCATCATACAGGTTCCTAACATTTAACAGCTTTCCTGCTAAAAACTCTTCAACATGTTTAGCTCTGATTGCATGCTTATTCCTAAAACCACCAAAAGACAACCTACAAGTATCTATTATGGTTCCATCAGTATCCTTGCATGAAGATACTTGAACAAGGAATGCAGCATTTAGGTAGGAAAGTGCATTTCCAAGCGGTCGAGGAGAAACTCGGTAAGTTTCAAAGACGAATCTACTTCTTGGTGCCGAAGATTCACTTTTAATAGTTTCCAAACATGGAATTTTAATGCTTAAAAGCACACTTTCAAAAGCTAATGGTGGTCTCTTAAGAAATTCCTCCAGTGAAAGCCATTCAAACTTTGAACCGGTCATCATGTGAACCATTGAATCTGCGGCCAGAAGTATAGTAGCGATATCTGAAGGAAACTTACTCTTTTGCGCTATCACCAAATTGCCTCCAACACTTGCTGTGTTCCGAATAAACCCTGAAGCAACTTTGTTCATGTGGTCAGCAATCTTTTCAAGTATCATAACAAAATCAGAGATAAAATCACTTCTGTTTTCTTCCCTTAGCACTTCAATGGCTTTAGATATCGTCACTGCTGCTCCAATTTCAACCCCTGTTTGATCCTTTTGGATCTTTAAAAGCTCAGAAATTCCACTTATATCGATATATTTATCATAACCTTGTCTATCTTTGTAATATCCCATAGCAGTATTATGAACAACAATTTTTATCTTGGTTGCGTTGTCATGGTTTACTTCAATTAACCTCTGAAGTTCCTCTAAAGTAGTAGGTTTGTGCCAATAATGCTTCTCAGAAACTATGAACAAATCATGGTTTATTTCCTTCAAAAACATCGGAAATTCGATATTCTTGTGATCGCGATCGCGATCATATTGAGGCAACTTACTAATCTTTTCGTCCTTGCCATCTCCCTTTCTCCAGAAAGAGTTCAAACCAAGATCCTCTATATCAACATCGGCTGCAAAGCTTTTACAGACATCAGCGATCGGTCGGTAACCAGTACATCGACAAAGGTTACCTGCAATAGACTTCTCAGCATCAGAAACATTGATTTTTGAAAAACCAGCTGGTGCCTTTAGAGAATCATTTTTTTCAGCATTGACAAGAGCGCCGAAGAGGGAAACAGACATTCCAGGAGTACAGAAACCACATTGAGAAGCATGGAATCCAGCAAATCTTTGATGAATTGGATGGAATCCTTGTTTGGTATTTCCAATGCCTTCACTTGTTGTTATTGAACATCCATGTATGCTACAGAGTAGTGTGAGACAAGAGCTCGCAGTAAAATGGTCGACTCTTTCGAGTAACGGATCATATTTAGAGATTAAAACTACACAAGCACCACAACCACCTGCATCCAACAATTAAGAATCATAAAAAGTATATTATATTAATCAATCATATGGAATAAAAACTGCAGAAACATGAAAATACAATACAAGTCAAACATAGAGAAAAATAAAATGATTAAAAATCAACCTAATTGAAGTATATATAAATAAAGATTCAGAATCAGAAAAATAGAATATATAATACCTTCACCACAACCGAGTTTAACACTCTTGAATCGAGTTTGAGTACGCAAGAACTCAAGCAAAGTGGTTGATGGTTCCACTTTGGATAGCTCAAACTTTTCACCATTGATAACAAAAATCAAACTAGTTTCATTCTCACTCATCTTCACATCCATACTCGAATAACTGAGTTTCAGTTTCAGACAAATACAACTTCAAAAACTCTTATCCACGTTTGTGTTGGTTTTAGCTGGTTAAGGCTTTTCTTCATTTCCATTTTTGAAAACTTTTATTTTTCAGTATTTAAAATAAAAGTAATACTAATATTTTTAGAAATGTGGTAGCGGTGAGTGCTACGTGAACCGGTATATATATGATATCGTTATACTCCTTACTCAAACAACGAATGCTTAGTTAACAAACTTAGACTTTGCATTCACGTGTGGGCCATAGATGAAGAAATATGGTTGAACACTATTAAATGAATCTTAATTATTTTCAGGATTTCTTGATTTGTAGCAATAAAAACCTTGTTGTGCTATTTGCGGATAAGATATAAGTCATTTGAAAACATTTATCTACTCCTTCTCATTTATAATTATTTTCGACTTTTCACACTAAGTGAAAAAGAAAGATTATAAAAAATTTACGGATTTAATAAAAATGCATTAAATTAATTTTTTTTAATCAATCTATCATATTATATAATTAGTTAAAAAAATTTAATTTAATTTAATTTAACTGAATATATAATCATCGTTGATGGTTGATAGTACAATTACACGTTACATCATCTTTTTTCAAAATTTATAAAATTATACTTTATTAAAATATAAAAAAATAAATTTAAAGAATTGAAAGAACAAACTATAATAAATTCTTAAAGATATAATAGAAAAAAAATAACATTATTTTTTAATTGATATTTTAAAACGATTTATTTATATGTTAGTATATCTTCTTTCTTCAAAGTCACTTATAATAAACATGTTTCCTCAATTTTTTTTATTCTAAAATTATTTTTTTGCTAAGTTATAAATGATTTCTGGTAATTTTTTTGAAATTTTTTTTTTAATATTAGAATTTTTTTTTTTGAAAAAATATCAGATTTTTTTAAAAATCTGGTATTTATTCGAAACTTTCAGTAATTTTTTTTGAAATTTCGGAAAAGTCTGTTTTTTTTTCCTCGAAATTTCTGAGTTTTTACCAAAATTTCCGTTTTTTTTTAACTTTTATTTGAAAAATTTGAGATATACTTAAATTTTTTATATTACTATAAATTTTTTGAAATTTTTTCCAAAAGTTTTAAAAATATCGGAATTTTCTCGAAATTTCTGATACACTTCTAAATTTCTGATAAAACTCATATTTTTTTAATTCGGTGATTAAATAAGAATATAATGATAAAAGTATATCTTTGAGATATGACATATATAATCTGCGAAGGTGACGTGTTAATTCCTCTAAAAACGGAGAAAATACATGTATTTTTTAAAATGCATGGTGCTAATAAGACAACTTATTGATGATTAATTTTTTATTTTTTCCTTCTCAATGGATATTAAAATTTGACAAAAATAAACTTATTTTTGAATTATTTGACTTTTTAAACTTATAGATGGTTCTACGTAACTGAGATTTTTTTTATTAATGCATAATTTAGATTCTACAAGCGAGGAGAATCAGACTTTTATATGTCTATAATTTTGCATAATTATTTTGAATCAGTCAAAAAATCAACAATATGGAACTCATTCATCTCATCCGCTTTATTGAGTCTAAAATATAAATATAGGTACAAGAAGGCTTTAAGTATAAAATTGTGTATCTCTCATTTCATTATACTCTTCTTAGGTCTTAAACTAATTTGAGCGTCATAGTGCTAACCATGTAGGTATATCCTGTTGTAATGGAGATCGAAACCACCGTTCAAGACCGCTATTATCAATCATTCTTCATTCCTGGTACCTTCGTGTGGAGTTAGATCATCCATTTTAAAATCCCAAATGGAACAGTGGCGCCGTCTATGGAAAATAACTTCTAACTCCTGCGATTTTCACAAAAATCGCGATCGTTTAAAAAACACAGTCGAACGAACGTAGAAGTTCCAAATCCAGATTCAGGCGGTTTTAGATCTAGTTTGCGATTCACCAATTCATAACCTTCTCAAGTTACCGCATCAGGAAAGCGTATGATTTCCATCTCCAACAATCGCCACCAATTACGTTCGCATCTCGGTTTCATCGCACACTACTCTTTCAGAGCTAAAAATCATGTAGCGCAAAGAGGCTAACACCAAGATCCATGATAGATTGTACGGTGAATATGCTGCCTAACTGCGATCCTCTCCGTCAAGATCTAAAATTCCTTTACAAAATCCACAAAAAAACAAAAGAAATGACTTCAGATCCATATTTAGGATTGCGTCGGGGTTTGAAGACAATTTTCATTAAGGTCATACCGATAACTCGCGATCCACTGTGTGATACGGTGGGAAGAGAACTAACTGTTTTGGAATGCTGGTTCGCGTTTTGCGTTTGTTTTTGCAAAATGTCGCGGTAAGCAAGAGTCGCCACCGACTTTTATTTTATCCAACAAGGAAAGGAAAAAAGCACAGAAAAATTCCTTTTTCGTGATATTTCTCAGGTCCGGGGGGTAGATTATAGAAAGGGAAGGTGTTAGCACCCTTTCTATCCATGGTTATCCACGGGCTCTTAGGTACTTGCTCAAAGTGTTTTCAAAATTTTACTTTTTCTTTGTGTTTGTGGGTTTGAAAAGAGTTTTTGTTTGAAAGGTGTAAGTGCGAAAAGTTTTATTTTATTTTGGAAGGAGCAAGTACTTAAGAATCATCTACATGCTCGAAAAAGGAATTAATCTGTGCAAATGTCCTTTAGACAATGATATTCCACTATTGAGGAGTAGGTAGCATCGTCGTTGGATTTTTAAGGGTCAATTCGATTAAGGGACGTGTGGTCACTAAAGCAATGTTAGGATACCTTAGCGGTAACCCTAATATCTTAGATCATTTTTCCGAGGCAACTGTTTCGAGGCAACTATGATCTTTGGATAAGAGGGCGACCTCTAAAACTTCCTATACTCAATGACCACGTTCGAAGGCAACCAAGTGAGGTGTACTCTAAGAGTGCGCATGTGCGAGTGTGTCATTTCGGTTAATTTTATCTTTGTACATGTCATGGGTGAGCTATGTTGATTTTAGGTTAAAGATTTGATCTTGTCATGCATTCCCTATTATCAAACACCTAACAGTGTATATTTGCGGAATTTAAATTGCGGAAATTAAATCTAAACTATTACAAGGCGTCGGGTATTTACATCGCCAAAAACAAACCTTGAAATTAAAATGCGGAAACTAAAAGAAAGCGATAAAATAAAGTCCTATTTAAAGCTATTACATTCCAGAAACAATTACATCAATATGAAAATATGGATCGCGTGCGAGAAAATTAAATCGGCGCATTTTTTAGGGTTTTGACCCTTTTTTGAAAGAAAGCATTTTTTGGTTTATTTTTGAATTAAATGGAATTAAATCTAAGTTAATTATTAAAATAATTAATTAATTAATTAAAAAAAGTATTTTTGGATTTTTGAGTATTTAAAGAAATAAAATAAATTTGGTCAAAGTTAATAAAACCTAATTATCTAAATTAATTTTAAATATTGCAAAAAATATTAAAAGTTAAACCTAATTAATGCTAAATTAATTGAGTTAATTTATTTACAAAAATAAAGTGATGATTTTAATTTTAATAAATAAAACATATTTTTGTGTTTTTTATTTTATTAAGAAAAATTATTAATTGGTTAGTTTAAATAATAATAATAATAATAATAATAATAATAAAATAAAATAAATAAATGAAATAAAAAAAGAATTAGAAATAACCCAATGGGGGGGGGGGGGCAGATTGATGGTGAGAATAACAATTTCCAAGCCCAATTATGCTAGTCTTCTTTGACTTTTCTGATCATCCATGGCACGTTGACTGGGCAATAGGATGCACCTTCAATCCTGACCATCAGATTTGGCCTGAAGGCCATCTGGCATCTGGAGATCTGAAGGTGTATGGTGTATTATGCTTTGGAAATCACATGGAATAACCTGAAGAAAAATGAAACAAATGCATTGGGGGACCTGGGATTCAAACCCAGGTCCCATTGGATTTCATACAACGTGCTTGCCACTGGACCACTGCACTCTCTTTGTTAGTATAATAAACAACAATTAATATATAGAGAAAATAACTAATATGCCAGAAATTATAAAACGCGTGCCAGATGTTTGAATGGACCAATTGGACATGAACACGTCTTCGTCTTCCCCACAGAACTCTGGTTATTTTTACCTGCGGATTTGAATACGCAACTAAATCCCTAGGTCGATCCTAAATCCTCTCTAGGCTATGGAAACAAATTCTGAGACCATCATCATGCTCGTCTCTCCCTCCTGAACACGCTCATGGCCATTGTTTGCATCAATTTTTCCTAAAACTAAAAACCCCAAAAACAAGAAGCACAAACCCTAGATTCGGGCATGGCATTACATGCTATGAAAACAAAATCAAATATTGCAGAAAGTCTTTAAATGGACCGATTAGCATGATTGTGCAAAGATTTTGGCAAAAAAACGCATGAATATGAGAATATGATTTCATGTACAGGGCGACTTTCAGGGAAGCTTACAGTGCGATTCAGGGAGGGAGAGGGCTTGATTTTGATTGCAATAGACTCAGTGGATGTCTAGCAAGAGAAACACGTTGAGTTTTTGCTTTGAATCGGCCTCTAGATGTGATTTCAGTTTCCAACTTTTTTGCCTTTTTTTCAAGTTGTGTTCTTCTGATTGTGCAGCTTCCAGGTTATTATTTTCGTGCCTTTGCATTGTACAAGTATAAGGGAATGAATTAGGTTTAGTTTTGGGCTTTGAATCTTTGTGTATTGATGATTTAAGTTTGATATGATCCTCCATTACAAAGCTTCCAAAAATGCCCCAAATCCAATATTTTGTGCATGAGATAGCTTGATATGAGTTTGATCCTATCCATGATGATAATTGAAACCTGTATCAATCAAAAAGATCCTATTTCATCAATATTTGGATTTTATTTGGATTTAAATTGATTTAAAATGAATTAATTCAATAAAAATCAAATAAAATAGA